ATATGTAATTAAAGCTACTGGAAATTAATAAGAAAAAGAGCTCTGTATTCAAGGGAAGTAGAATGTATGCTTTCAGTAGAGAAGGTATAATGAAAGGAAGTATTTTTGTTTGTTGGGGACTGAGAGAGTTTATCCCCAAGATACATACACTAAGGGAACTTTTAAAGACGTGGATCAGGAAGAAGGAAAAGTGATTGCGGGGCAGTTTTCTATGTAAGAAGGAAGAGCGAGAAAATAAAGTGGCAAATGAGTATGTACCACCAACCACCATTGTCTGCAATAAGAATATTTATAATATTTAATTTGAGAAGTTTTAAAAAGTTCAAAACTAAAATACTGGGCAATCATGTATACAAGAGGAGCACCGTTAAAGCATTCTAAACTCTGTGTTGTTTAGGAGGGAGGGGACACCTTAAGTTATACAAGCATGGTACAATTGCGAGAAAAACCAGCACAGGGAGTGTATAAGTTCTAAACCACTAGAGAGGGTTAAAATTGTATAAAAACAACCTTCAATGAATCAAAAAAATTAAGTGAGGACAAAAGCAGAGAAAAAGTGGGACAAATGTAAAATTTTTAAAAGATGGTATGAAAAAGTCCACGTTTAGTAATAATCACAATAAAGATGAAAAATTTAACTACAGTTAAAAGACAGAGATTGTCGGATAGATTTATTTTATCTTTCTTATCTATTTCTGTCTAATCTCTGGATTTAATGCGAAGACAATGCCTTGTATCCATGAATCAGTCACAATGGCACTGCCAGGGGAAGAGGAAGAGTGATGGGGCCTATTAGCTCTAGAAATCCTCCCATTTTTAATGTGATGCAGGCTGACTCCCTGGGAAACCACAAGATTCGACGTGACTAACAAACGGGCACGACTTGGCTCCTGATTCCCTCTGGGGCCCCGGCTACCTGCTGTCCTGCACACAAAGCTCAGTTCTGAGTCGGTTTAGCTTCTGGACCAGCTTAAAGGACACACTGTGTGTCTGCGTGCCTGTCAGGTGTAGGCTGAAGGCGTTGGACTGAGAAAACAGACACATGGATTTTAACACTCCTGATGGAAAGCAGAAAGGGAGGGGTTTTCCAAAGAGAGTTTGAGAGACACTTGCAGGAAGTTCTCCTTCTTTCTTCCCTCTCCTCTCCCTTGCTCTTGGATTTCTGGGGACACGCACTGCCACCTTTTCTCAGCAGAACCTGATTTCAGATTACTAAGAGAAGGAGGAAGGAAAAGGAAACTAACATGTCGTTGATGCCCCCCCACGGCCTCCCCTCTCCCTGAGAAAGGAAAAATCAGGAACATTCTCTAACGCTTTCTATGGGGCCAGCGTAACCTTAGTACCAAAATGAGACAATTACAGGATGAGAAAGAAAAGGCCAGTCTCCCTCATGAATACACTTGCAACAATTAGAAGAAAAATACGAGCAAACCAAATCCAGCAGTGTATAAAAAATCCAAGACATCACATCCAAGGTGGGCTCATCTCAGGTGCGCAAAGATGGTGTAACAAGAGAAGAAAAACCTACAGACGCCATTCGTCGCTTTGGTAACAGTAGACTTTACTGCTCTACGTCACATCACTCGGGCCCTCTGGATAGACTCACCTTATGCTGCCAGTGTCCCACCCTAAGCTTAGACCACGTTCCTTTTTGCTTTTTGTCTCAGGGTCTTCTTCAAGCTTTAGGAGCCACTTATCTGCCTGCTGGTGTTTCCCAGAAGCGTGGGAGACCCAAGTTCCCTAAGATGCAGCTCTCAGCCAGTGAGGGGACAGGAGCTGGTGGATGTGGGCTCCAGCCTCCTTCTTTTCAGTGGGTGATTCTGGGGGCATCTTGTAGTCTTGCCAGGGGTCCCCAAAGAATTGGCTCCCTTTGCCTACAGCTGCGACATCAGTCACGCACCTTCACTTGGCTTTTCCTCCTTCCCCGTTCCAGTCTGCCTGCTCCTTCACTCCACGCTTCCTGGAATTGCCTCTTGAATAACCTTTCTGAACCTAAGTCTTTGTTCCAGGCTCGGCTCTTGAAGGAGCCCAAACTAAAAACTTTTAACAGATTTAAGAACAAAAAACATATGATCATCTCAACAGATCCAAAAAAAAAAGAAAAGAAAGAAAATTGGTGACATTGAACATCCTTTCCTGATAAAAGTTCTTAGCAAATTAAAGGAAACTTCCTTGACTCAATAAAAAGAACTTACAAAAAGCTTACATATATATTATTTTTCACGAGTAAATCTTAGTAACTAAGTAAATCTTTTCCTTTAAAATCAGGAACCAGATAAAGATGCTCGCTATCTCTGCTTCTACTTAACATGTTACCACAGGTCCTGGACAGAGCAGTAAGACGAGGAAAAAAAGTGAAAAGAAAGCACCTCAGAATGGGAAAAGAGAAAAACCATCAGCATTTTCGTATGATGTGATTTCCCAAGTAGAAAATCCAAAAGAATGATCCAACAAGTGATTCAAAATAATAAGAGATTTTAGCAAGGCAGCTGGGTATAAGATCAATATCTAAAATTAAGTTGTTTTTGTGCCCATCAGTAACACACAAAAATGTAATTTAAAAAACACACCATTTATAATAGCAAAAAAAAAGAAAGAAATCTAGCAAAACATATACAAGACTTATAGTAAGAAACTTGTAAAGCTTTATTGAAAGACATTAAATACAATCTAAGCAAATGGAGAGAAAGGCCGTATTCACAGATAGGAGATTCAGTATTATAAAGATGTCAATTCTCCCCTTACTGACATACAGACTCACTGCAATTCCAATTAACCTCAATAGGGTTTGCATGGAAATTGAAAGATGATTCTAAAATTTATACAGAAGAACAAAAGGACTAAGACAACCCTGAAGAATAACAGGGTGAGGGGATTTGCTGGATGAGATCTCAATACTATAAATGCACTTTTTTTTTTTTCAGGAAGATTAGCCCTGAGCTAACACCTGCCACCAATCCTCCCCTTTTTGCTGAGGAAGACTGGCCCTGAGCTAACATCCATGCCCATCTTCCTCTACTTTATATGTGGGACACCTGCCACAGCATGGCTTGCCGAGCAGTGCCATGTCTGAACCTGGGATCTGAACCTGCAAACCCCAGGCCGTCAAAGCAGAACATGCGAACTTAACCACTGTGCCACTGGGCCTGCCCCAATACTTACTATAAAATATGGTGTTAGTATAGATGTAGGCAGATTAACCAATGGGACAGAATTAAGAGCCCAGAAATAACTTGTATGAAACTTTGACACATGACAAAGGTGGCACTCTAGAGCACTGGGTGAAAGAAGAGTCTATCAGATAAATGGTGCTGGATCAACTGGTTAACCATAGAGAGAAAAGGGGGGAAATATATCCCTACCTCACACCAAAGGTAGAAATCAATTCCATCTGGACTGGGGATTTGCATGTGAAGGAACACTTTAAAACTTTTATAAGAAAATATACGAGAGTATTTTTACATCCTTGGGGCAGAGAAGGATTTCCTAAGCAAGATCTCACTATCAACAACATAAAACAAAGAATTGATAATTTCGATTACATTAAAAATACATATAAACATTTCAAAGAAAAGTCAAGTCTAAAAAAATGAAAAAATGCTTTAACTCAATCATAGCCAGGGAAATTAAAATTAAAACTGCAATGGGATACCATTTTATATCTGCTAGACTGCAAAAGTTAAAAATCTGACAAGACCAATTGTTGGAGAGGTTGTAGGTCAATAGGAACCCTTAGACTTGCTGGTGAGAGTGTATATTGGTTCTCTGGGAAATAATTTGGCATTATCTTGTAAAACTGAACATTCTTATACCCTACAACTCACAATTCTATTCTTACAGATATGCCCTGAAGAAATTTTTGCACTAAGAACCAGGAGACATGTCCTGTGCTTACTCTTACTGTGTGACATTGAGCAAGTCACTTAATCTCTCTGTGCCTCATTTCCTCTTCTGTAAAATGAGATTAATAATAGTGCCTTCTCCACAGGGTGGCTGTGTGGATTAAACAAATTAAACGAGTTAATATATACACATATTTTTTTTTAAAGATTGGTACCTGAGTTAACATCTGTTGCTAATCTTTTTTTTTTCTTCTCCCCAAAGTCCCCCAGTACATAGTTGTATATTCTAGTTGTAGGTCCTTCTAGTTGTGGCACGTGGGACACCTCATCATGGCTTGATGAGTGGTGCCATGTTTGTGCCCAGGATCCAAAGCGGTGAAACCCTGGGCCGCCACCGAAGTGGAGCATGCAAACTTACCCACTTGGCTACGGGGCCAGCCCCGAGGAAATATTCTTAAGTATTTAAAACAGTGCCTAGCACACTGTAAGTGTTGTATAACTGTTTCATAAAATACAAATAAATAGGCATGCATATGTGACAAAGCCCTAAAAAAAAAACGATCAAGAGAAGAATAAACACAAAATTTGGGAGGGTGGGTGCCTCGGGGTGGGAGGTGAGATGCGAGATTTAGTGACATTCCATCCTTGTGTTAAGGATTTTACAACAAGAATACAAAGGGAAAAGAGACATTCCGACATGTCCAGAAAGAAGAGGCTCCACGGGAAGTTGAGCCACTGGTTAGGAGAGTCCCCCTCTACCTGAGGAAGGTGGCATTTCACCGTGAACCCCAGATGCCATCTGGAGAGGAAGGGGACCGTTCCTCCCCCTACGCCACAGCTCTGGCCCACTAAGCCAGCTCAGGTCATACCCACAGGGGACCAGAAGGCAGCCCCATGCTTCTAAATTGGTCACCCAGAGGGAGGACAAAACCAGGAAACAACCACAAAAGCAAGCCCTGTGGACTCCCGGGCAGCAGGCAGGAGCTTCGTGGAGCGGGGAACATCCATCCAACCAGAAGGAATCCTGGGGATCTCCAGCCCTGTGCTTACCAGGGGAAACTGAGGCCCTAGAGGAGAAGGGACTAGAACTCAAGCCTCGACTCTCCATCCTAAACCCTTCCCACGCTGCTCAGAAGGAGGTGAGAAGCATGACCTTACCTGTTGTCTGGGAAGCGGAGTGACTGGTAGGGACGTGGGGCTGCCTGAGGTCCTGTGCATCCACCCGGAAAGGTGACTGCTGGATGGGCTGTACTGGCACTTGTGCTGTGGCTGTCAGCAGTTCTGTGAATGTTAGACGCTGGCCTCTTGTGCCCCACACAGGAGTCACATGCTTCCTGTGTCAAGCTAATCTCACTTGCAGTCCACTTCTTTCTTTCTTTTTTTTTTTAAAGATTTTATTTTTTTCCTTTTTCTCCCCAAAGCCCCCCTGTACATAGTTGTACATTCTTCGTTGTGGGTCCTTCTAGTTGTGGCATGTGGGACGCTACCTCAGCGTGGTTTGATGAGCAGTGCCATGTCCGCGCCCAGGATTCAAACCAATGGAACACTGGGCTGCCTGCAGCGGAGTGCGCGAACTTAACCACTCCGCCACGGGGCCAGCCCCTCCCTCTTTCTTAAATTGTGGTAAACTATGCACATAGAAATTTACCATTTTAACCATTTTTAGGGTACAGTTCTGTGGCATTCAGTATGTTCACATTGTTGTGCAACCGTCACCCCCATCCCTCTCCAGAACCTTTTCATCTTCCCAAACTGAAACTCTGTCCCCATTAGACGCTAACTCCCCGTTCCCTCCTCCCCCATGCCCTGGCAGCCACTGTTCTACATTCTATGAATCTGACTATGCAGGGACCTCATATAAGTGGGATCGTACAGTACTTGTCTTTTTGTGACTGGCTTATTTCACTTAGCATGATGTCCTCAAGGTCCATCCACGTTGTGGCACGTGTCCGAATTTCCTTCCTTCTTAGAGCTGAAGAACATTCCACTGTGTGTACGTACTACATGTTGTTTACCCATTCATCTGTTGGTGGACTCTTGGGTTGCTTCCATCTTTTGTCTGTTGTAAATAATACCGTTATGAACATGGGTGTACACATATGTCTTCAAATCCTCGCTTTCAGCTCTTTGAGGTATATATCCAGAAGTGGTGTTGCTGGATCAGATGGTAGTTCTACTCAATTTTTTGAGGCATCACTATACCATTCTCCTCTCCTCTCTCTTTTGATGTGTGGTTTCTGCACTACTGGGGGTCCTCAATGAATGAGACAGTTCCAGGATGAGCCACCTGTTGTCCCCTTGCAGAAGGCTAGTCCACATCAAACAGCTGGGTTTTCCATGTATTTGACATGCCCTGCCACAAGAAAAATGGTTTGTGACTAAGAACCGTCACTTTCTCAGATCTTTTCACATCTGCCACCCGACCTAGCAATTTAAAAAAACTACCCTATCAGCTTTGTGCCAATAGGCAGAAAGGTCAAAGCTGGCTGCGGATGTGGGTGCTGGGTGGCCAGCCAGGCTCACCCACAAGCAAGGGATCTTGCTCCCACAGGCCAGCCCCACAGCACATACCATTTAAACTCCCGGTTTAGCAAAGTCACAAATTAGATCATGTCAGGGACCAATAGGACCCATAGGACCAAATGCTGAGGCTCTGCTGGGCTCTGGAACAATCTCTCTTCGTACTTTTGTGCCTCAGTTTCTTCACAGAAGTAGCTCTTTTGGGGATCTTCTGGTCACACTGCTGGCAAAACAAAGCCAGTGTAGAATGTGGCGGGGGCAGGCATCAGGGCTTTGAGGGGCTCATGTGACTTTAAAGTTTTGACAGCATCTGTCATAGATGCAGATTGGGGCACATGTCTCCTTCACAATTTCCCCAGGAGATGTATGTAGATTTGTCTTTTTTCGAGGGGAACCCCTCCTTTCCCTACTGTAGACAGGTTTTCTGGGGAACTTCTGTCCTACTCAACCTCACCTTCCTGGATAAATGATTGCTTCAAGGTTGGCATCTTGGTACCACTCCTTCAGGTCTTTCCTTGAGTTTTGTTTTTTCTTAATGATTTGGGGAAAGAGAGCCTTTTCCTGCCTGTTGCAGAGGTCAGAGGACAGACGCTGCCTGAAGCCATGCCCCCCATTCACAGGGGAGCTGGGTCTGTAGGAAGTGAGAAGGTCAAAATGCACAGAGAAGAGGTGAACATGCTCTGATGGTGTTCCAGTCCCTGGTTCCAGCCATTCCTGAGGCCCATTCCTGCAGGTCAATTTCCACTAGCCAACCCTTTTGCTTTTTTTACTTAAGTCAGTTTCAGCTGGTTTTTGCCCCATGCAACCAGAGTCCAGGGTAAGAGACCATGAATCAAGACAGAGAAACTCATCAGTCAACAAAGGAATGTTCCAGAATAAAATTGCACATTGCTTGGACTCGCCTTGGTACCAGGGGCTTACTTTGGTGCTGGGTCTTCATGATGAGAGGGTGAGCGAAAGGCATCGATGTTTGAGGATACCTCTGCACGTATTTTGGCCCAAGCTCTAGGAAGTCATGCAGCATTTTGATCATTGCTATTCTGATTCTTAGTTGATGGAACTAAAATTGCCTATAGCACTGAGGAAAACACAAATACAAGGGTGTAAACAGTTCCCCATAGATTGCTGTCCCTGACCACTGTTCCTTCCTAATTCAGACTTCCTCTATTTTGTCAGATACAGCATCTTGCTGCATTTGGGCACTCCACAGACGAGAGGAGTAGGGAGGGGAAGGCATGGAAAGAGACTGAGGATGCGCGAGGCCACGTGGCAGGAGCCCCTCCGGGGCCCACTCGGCTCCCTTGACATCAGGGCCCATAATCACAAATCAGAGCCAGGCGTGTAACAACCTGGGGCTTTATGGAGAGAGCTGGGCCAGCGAGACCTCTCTGCTGTCTGGGTGTGTCCTTGCGGACCCAAGCCTGCTTCTGGAGAGGTGTCCAATGAGACAAGGGGTTCAGGAAGCAGGCTCAAGCTGCGGAATTACAGTGGATCTCGCTGACCAGTCCCCTAGACAGGGGGCGTCTAGACCCCGTCACCAGCACTATTTCGGACTCTCCTAAAATACAGGGCACCCAGTTAAATTTGAATTTCAGATAAACTACTTTTAGTATGTCTCAAGTATTGCATATTGCAATAGTTGCATATCGTGTGTGTATATACATACCTATATGTATGTATGTATATATCTGTATCTGTTGTGTTTTTTTCATCTCTCCAGGTGATTTCAATGTGCACAATGCTGAAAGCCAGCACACAGGGTGGAAAAGCCAAAGATGGGTGAGAACTCGGGCAGTAACCGGGGTCAGAGGCATGGAGGCGAGGTCCAGTCTGGTGCGTTTGGGATGGCAGGGGTCAGCCGTGGGCAGGGAGCCCAGAGGGCTCATGTGAGGGAGGGAAAAGCTAAGGGGGTCCCTCTTCAGAAGGGGAGGGTGTCGTCTCTCATATTGTGAACCTGGATGACACAGCCTGATCGCAGCCTGGCTGTGAAGCCCCAAGAGTTGTCTCTGATAGGGTGGGCTCCCATTCTTGAGCGCAGAACTGGCTATGCCGCTTTTAGAAATACAGATGCGGGGCCCGCCCCAGAACTGTCCAGTTATAACCCCATGTGCCTGCTCTAAAAGCTACACAGACAGTTCTGATGCATCCTTTGGGCCAACCCCCCCTCCTCTCCAACCGATTTTTTCTCCTCCCCCCATTTTGTGGCTTCTGGGCAGATCACTTTCCACATCTGTTTCTTGCTTTCCCTTCTCTGCTAAGTTTCTGGTGCCTTCCTCTTTGAACCAACAAGAGCACGTTCAATGAAAGTTTACTGGACTCCCACAGCAGCTTGGTTTTATGAGACATGTGTTTTACAGCAAATGTTCTCAAACTTTAGCACACACCAGCATCACCGGCGGGTCCTGCCCCCAGAGTTTCTGATTCAGCAGGTCTGGGATGAGGCCTGGGAATCTGCATTTCTAACAGGTTCCCACATGATGGTGATGCTTCTGGGGCTGGGACCACACTGTTTTAGCAAGAGTGAGAAAGTGTTCTCAATTTAAACAAAGCCAAGGCCATCTTAACTACATGTAGAAGCCAGAGGTTTGGAGTAGAAATGCTGACCAGGCCCTGGAAGGCTAGCGCTTCACAGGCAGGCTGTAGGCTCACTGGCCTACAGACTGAATGATGGAGACTGTGGGGTCAGTCCGGCAGAGTGGAGAGAGTTACATGGACCTGTGTTTGAATCTCTGCTCAGCTCCTTGCCGGCTGTGTGACCTTGGGCAAGTTGCTTAACTTCTCTGAGCTTCAGTTTGCTCATCTCTAAAGTGGGGTAATACTAATAGCCAACATTTCTGTCGTGCTGACTATGCATGTGTGTGGAGTTGTGTTGAGTTGAGCAGGCACGCAGCAGCAGGAGACCGGGCTGAGATTCAAATCCAGGCAGTTGGGATCCCACATCTAAGCCCCAAAGCCCTTTCACCCGCCTCAGAGTTCCCCTCGAAGGGCTTCTAGGAGGAATAAATGTGATGATTTGTAAAACATTGACCCAGAACCTGGTACACGGTAAGCACTCAACCAAATTTATGGTGGTTGTTACAACTGGTGCCCCAACGTGCAGCTGTGTCCTTGTAGGCCGTGCTCAAGGACACCCTAGTACATGGCTTGACTATTGCATGGAGCCACAGAATGTCAGACTCCAAGATCACCCCCATATAGGGAGGGGCCTATGAATATTATAAGTTAATCCTGAAGCGGGAAAAGTTTGTGAATATGCATTGCTTAGAAAACGCCTGGCTCATGAAGGACTTGAGATGTTTATATAACCAGCCTCCTTGGCCTTCTTTTTGGACCCCAGCCTCATCTCATACAGAGCGACCCTGCAGAGTGGGGAGGAGGACAGCCTGGTGACCTGGGTGGACACAGGACAGTGGGGGCCCGGGGAACAGAGGCTGCACGCGGGCGCCAGTTGGCAGCCAAGGTGAGGGAACGTCCTGCCGCCCGTTCCTCTATGATCACAAGTAGGTTCGGAACCAGCTGGGATCCTGAGAGACTGTTTTTAAGGAGGGTGATCTCTGTAGACGCAGCAACTCCATCCATAAACACCCCACGGCCAAAGAGCTGAGGGAGGGAGAGCCTGACAGGGTTTCAAAGGAGGGAGAGAGCCTTCCTTCTGGAAAACACGGGCGTCCGGGTACCCAGCTGCCCTTTACCTCCTGTAGGCTTTACTGCAAGGGGGAGAATAAACTGAGATGCCTTACTAGGAACTCAGATGGGAAGTCGAGCTGTTTCCTTAGGTAAGATGCCAAAGGCAGCTCCCTGGCTTATTAGAGCAAGGTCAAAATCCAAGAGAGAAACAAGGTTTTTAAAAATTTTTTCCTGTGAGGCTGTTCTCTTTTGGGGCCTGAATGTTAGGTTAAGAAATATTTGAGTATAGTTAAAGATTAGTTTTTAAAAATCAATTAGATGCTACTAGGTGTTTATGTTTTTTAAACGGTTCTAATTCTTTCTGCAAACACAACCCTTAGAGCATGTGTCCAGGGTTAGAGGCGACAGCTGTGGGGTCCAGGCCCAGTGGCAGTGATGGGGGTGTGCATCTGGCCTCCCCTCCCCCCCCCACTTCTGCACAGGCTCTCCAGCCCAAATGAGGCCACACAGCCAGAGGCAAGTTCTGTTGCAACAACAGAACTGCCTCAATTTCTCTGTTGGTGTATAAACGACCTCAGCAACTGACAAAGTCAAGGTCCCAGCAAACTCTTGGGGCCCCATGTCACTTCTGGCTTCTGAGCAACTTCCCATAATGTCCCAATCAGAATCTGAAAACAAGTTAATCCACCCACGTGTAGAGTCCTGGGCCTCCTCAGTCTAAAGTGCAAGCTGCTCGGGTCCCACCAGCTCCTGAGCTTTCATCCATGTTCCAGTTAATGCCTCCCGTGGCTCAAAGTCTCCCATTTGCCCTCGGAAACTTGTTTTACCGGAGAGAAACTTGCCCACATCCCCCACCTCTTCACACACACACACACCACCCACTTCCTTCCTTTCCCTGACGGGGGCCTTGTCCTGCTCTGAGCATGACCTTTCCCCCCATTCCTCTTGCATGGGAACTTCCCATATCTCTGGGCTGGGCAGGCATTGGGTATTGCTGGCTCCTCGTGGCCTCAGCATTCTGGAAGCACGCCACCCTCCCATGCTGCTCCTCCCTGAGGTCCATGCCAGCTCCCCATCTCGAGGCCATTCCACTACCTGGGATTCATGGAGGACTTTGCCTCTGTCTTCCTGTCTCCCCCTCCCTCCCCCACCCTTGATTCTTGCTGTCATCCTGGGCAACCCCAGTGTCTACCAGAAGGCCCAGCTACACCTGAGCCTCAACGTCCACACACTTCCTCAACTATAAGTCTTTATCTCCCGGGGCCGGCCCGGTGGCACAGCAATTAAGTTCATACGTTCCACTTCTCAGTGGCCCGGGGTTCGCCGGTTCGGATCCCAGGTGCGGACATGGCACCGCTTGGCAAGCCATGCTGTGGTAAGCATCCCATATATAAAGTTGAGGAAGATGGGCACGGATGTTAGCTCAGGGCTAATCTTCCTAAAAAAAAAAAAAAGAGTCTTTACCTCCATTCCACCACCCACCCCTGCAGCCAGATCTTACTTTACGGCCATGCAATGCTGCTCCACCTCCAGAATCTCCTCTGACCACTTCCCTGTCTCCCTCCATCAGTCTGGACCCCAAAGTCAACCACTTTCCCATCAACTCCCTCAGTGTCCCCTCTTTGCACCTGCTATGCCCACTCAGTACCCCCGCCCCCGACAGGCTAGGTTTCCTCAGCAGGCTGCAGCCCTAAGCAAAGGGCAGTTGCCTCCGCCTATAGTTACGCATGAATGCGGTGGGCTGAGGAGGGCAGATCTGCCAGTAGAACTAGAGTAAGATTTCAACTTGGAGACCGGGAAGGATGGTGGAGGTTGAGAGTGACATGTGGGAACTGAAATTAACTAGAAGTTGGTTCATAGAACATTTGAGCCTTACCTACCCCTGATGTGGAAGGACAGACAGTAGCAGTCCATCCCCAGGCCAACGATCAGAAGATTCTTCTCTAGACATTTAAGAACCCAGGGCAAAGACTTCTCACTGTGGCTTTTAAGGGTTCCCATATGATTACCTAAAAACAGGGCTCCCAGGATGACGAGCTCTACCCACCAACAGGGGCTCTCAGTCAGCTTTTTGTGGCCTCATTTTTAAGTATGTATAACCCATCAGTGATCACCAGACATTTAAGAAAATCTGCAACCTGGAAAAGGGAGATCAAAATAAATAAAAATGACCCCAAAGGATATAGCAGAGATAATACAGGGAATTGAAGAAAAGGTTAAAAAAAACCCAGCTCTAATTAGTATCCTCAAATACTCATTTCTCCTTAAGAAAGGGATCAAGAGCCCTTGGAAATTAAAAGTGATTGAGGAAACTAAGAAAAGTGTCATAGAAAGTTTGGAAAATAAAGCCAGGAAGTTTTCCAGAAGGAACAAAAATCAATGAAAGGAATATCAAAAATACAAGATAAATGACACAGAGGATCAAACCCAGAGTTCCAGAAAATAAAAACAGAGGAAATGGAGGGGAGATAATTATCTTAAAATTACACAAACTTTTCATAGCAGAAGGACACAAGCCTTTGGGTTAAAGTGCAATGATGAAACAGACCCGCACCTAGACATGCCATCACGGACAAGCGCGAGGGGTCATCCCTGTGTTTCCACGGGACCCCTCTACTGACTGGCCACAGGGTGGGAGTGGGTGCCGGGCCCCCTGACTGAGGGCTTGGCCACATTCCCTCAGGGAGCCAGTGGCTAAGGAAACGAGACAAGCTCTCGCTCTGACGCTGCTGCAGTAAGAGAACCTCCCACCACGGAATTGGATGGATGACCAGTTCTTTCTCAGTCCCAGGGACTGGCTTGTGGAAACCAGGATTTTAAAAAAATATATACAGTATCATCCAAATTTGGATTTAAAAACTGACGCAGAATTATTTTTAAAAGGTAAAAGGCATACCAAAGCATCAGCAGTGATGATCTTCTGAGCTTCCTTTCCATAATCGGCAGGATGGCCTAGATCAACGGTTCCCACACTTGGGGGTGTGTCAGAATCATCTGGAAGTTGGTCCTGTGGATCTTTGCTTGGAAGAATGCAGAGGCCCAGGCTTGTTGCAGCAGGACGTGGCCTGGGTCTGTGTATGTTCCCCAGACCATGTTTATGATACAACTGAAGTTTGCAAAACACTGACCTAAAAACGTTAAGAAATACAAACAACAGCACTGGGCTTTGTTATCTTGGATACAGCAAATCTTATCTAAGAGGGCTTCCTTTTCAATCAACATGTTCTCCATTCTCTGCTCACTCTCTCACCCCTGAGACAGCCACCCAGCCACTAGTGGCAAAATATGGCCCCCATGTTTTAAGGGGAAGAGCAGCTTTGTTAAGCAGTAGCCGTGGTTTTATTATTTTCTTTCTTTCCGTCATTGTCCTTTATCCCTCAGTTTCTTCCCTCTGCAGCAGAAGATGCCAGAATGGAGGCCAGACCCTCAGCTCCACACTTCATGGGGCCTGGTATAAATTACCCATCTGTCGACCTTCTGCCCCTTACTGTCCCCCGCTGGCCCCCACCACGCCAAAATTGTTCTGAGGAGAGAGGATCTCCTTTCCACCTTTGCCCTCTGCCTGTCTGCCCTGGCTAACCTGGACATCCCAAGACCCAGGAGAAGACCACCACAAACCCAGCAGACCCTCTGGTGCCACAGGAAGGCAGTGGGGGGATGCGCTATTGCCCCCTCCCACCTGCCTTGTTGGAGTCAGCCCACATCTCGTCAGGTGTCACCCCGAGCAGGGCTCAGTTATGGTCCAGGTAACCGTCATTGCCAAACAGGGTATTAACTGTGTTGGGGGGGTGACAGAGCTGCAGGTAGAGACTCCCTCATCTTTGCCCCTTGGACTGTCTGAGACACACCCCTTTTAGCTGACTAAAGGCACAAGCGGTTGGGCGCTGACCTTCTCCCTTCTGGGCTAGCGTACTGCCTTTCCCGTGACATTTTTTAGCTGACGCGTGGTCAGGATGGGCTCAGCTAGGCTGCAGTAATTAACCCAGACATTTCACCGGCCTGACACAAGTGCTGAGTTTTTACTGATAGGTCTGTTCTGAGTCAGGTGACTTTTTAGGGCAGCTGCCTTCCTGAAGGGGACTCTGTGATTCAGGTTGCTGCCTTTCTGTGCCACCTCAGTATGTGACCTCCACGATCACATCAGAGGAAGAGAGAACTAGAGGGTTGGGTCCCAGCTCTTAAATGCTTTGGCTTGGATGTGCCACATGTTACTTCTGTTCCCAGCCAGTTGGCCAGAATTAGTCACATGCCCCAAGCTAACTTCAAGGGAGGCTGGCAATGTTGTCTTCTCGGTATCCGGAAAGACAGAAATAGGATTTGATGAAAACATAGCATTATCTCTGCCCCTCCAAACAGCCTTCCTTCCTTTTTTCTTAAATTAAAGGCAATGATTGGATCAGTGTACGTCCCCTCTTGGAGAACATCATGTTAGCATATGAAAGGCCTCTGAATGGTATTGCTGTAAATATGAAACCTTTATTTAATCCAGCATTTCCTAAATTTATTTGGTCTTTTAGCCCTTTTTTCTGAGTTTAATATCCCTTGGAGCTAGTATTCTGAGGTGCAAATTTTGGGAAATTGTCCTAAATGAGTCAACCGTGGCCCTTGGTTTTCCCACCTTGTATCGCCACCTCTCAGTGCCTGTGTGTCTGGAACATGAGACGTCCTCTGGCAGATCCTGCAGAACTGACACCCCACCCCCACCCGGCCTGGAAGAGCTCTTCAGGGTGCCTAGCTCCCAATTCCTGTGACACACCCACCCCACCCCCCCACCTCCTGCTCAGGCCGCCCTTTTCCAGGAACTTATCACGGGGAACTTATCATGGGCCTTGATCATAAATGCTTATTTGGAAGGGACACGAGTCCAACCTCCGACCCAAGGAAGAATTTCTTTCTAGTCTGTTCAGGATGAGGCCCCTCCCCTCTGTTGGATTCCTCCAGAGACCTACAGATACTTCCTCGCAAAGCCTCCTTTGGCGCTACTGGGCAGCTCAAGCTGTCAGGCAGCCCTTCCCTCTGGACCTGGGATGTGCTGTCCTGGACCCTGCTCCCTCAATACCAGCTTAAACCCCCTGGAGCAAGACAGCAAAGCCAGTTCCTCATCACATGACAGATGTCTGAGGACCCAACTGCTCCCACTCTCTCTAGGCCAAACTCCTCTCATCTCTTTTTTTTTCTTTTTGAGGAAGATTAGCCCTGAGCTAACATCTGCTGCCAATCTTCCTCTTTTTGCTGAGGAAGACTGGCCCTGAGCTCACAGCCATGCCCATCTTCCCCTACTTTATATGTGGGATGCCACCTCAGCATGGCTTGCCAAGCGGTGCCATGTCCGCTCCCGGGATCTGAACTGGCGCACCCTGTGCCGCTGAAGCAGAACATGCACACTTAACCGCTGTGCCACCGGGCCAGCCCCTGTCCTCTCGTCTCTTTAAAAGCCCTTCAGGACCCTGCCCTCCCCTTCCAACCCCATCATTAATGTCAAGGCAGGACTTCCCATCATCCTTTGAGTTTAGGCTCAGCTTTTCAGTTTCTCAGTATCTTCTGGAATCTTGATTGGGTCATGAATCACGTTGGTGATTAGTCACTCTTTCCAGCTTTGGGTTGCCTGCAGGCAAACCTGATGAGCACTCTTCTGTGGCTTCATCCAAATCACTGAGCTGGGCTGGGAAGGGGAAGTTGGACTCGGAGAAGCACAGGGAGAGGGAGGGAAGGACACTTGCTGGGCTCACCGCCAACCCTCAGAGGCCAAGTTCATTCAATTGTTGTCTTGTCAGCCCCGCCCCTCTTGTTTCTGGACTGCCCCCTCCGACCCCTGCCATCTTTCAATATGGTTTCCCAGGGGCTGCCATGTTCATGTCAGCCCTGCTCCTCTGCCCACAGTTGACTGGACCAGACATGGGCTCATGATCTTATTTTTGACCTTGGCAAAGGGTCTGGTCAGTCTCGCGCTGAAGTGAAGGATGTTAAATGTTTTCGATCTTGAAGGAAATACTGGTCTGCAGGGAGAGAGGAATGAGGCCAACGTGTGATCAAGACACAGGATACCGCAGCACAGTGCCTGGCCCAGTGGGAAGGAAAGACAGGCGGGGCTAACTGTTACGCTGGCTGTTATCTGTGGCAGCTAAGGCACGCATCTAGAACAAATGGGACAAAAACAGACAGTGCAAATAGGTACACTCACTGATGGAATACAGTTGTGTATACATGAACATTTATTTAAGGAAATATATCAAACACTCAGAAAAAAGCACCCTCTTTGCAGCCCAACACTGACTCAGTGTGCAAAGCGACAAACCCTGCCTCAGTGCTCCAAACCACAGCCCTGGCTGTGCCAGCATCTCAACCACCTGCTGGCGTCCCTCTCTGTTCTCAGAGGAGCCAAGGATGCTGCCAGCTGCCTCCCTCCCTGGTCTGGGCCAATTCAAGATGTGGCCCCAGCCCTGGCACAGAGCTCTGCAGGGAATCCAAGAGCTGTCTCTGCTGCCACGTCAAGTGACTGGAGGCAGTAAGCAGGTGCCAGAGCGTACTGAAGTCCCTCGTGCTCCCTTGGATTTGGCTGCCTCCAAGACCCAGTGCTTCAGAGGGAGGGTGTGCCCATGGTTTGCAGGGACAGTCCTGGTATCCAATGAGGCCGGGGGATGGGATGGCAGTAGGCGGAGCAGAAGCAGCCGGTCTTGGTGCTTCGTGAGTGGCGCCTGCCTGGTGGCGCAAGAGAAAGTGAAGCCTCCTCTGATTTCACCAGAGGATGCGGCAGGGGAAGGAGACAGAACGTTGGCAGGATCCTAAAATCCCATTGGCTGGCGCTGGCTGCACTCCTTGGTGTGTGAGTGGACATAGTATGTGCTTCTGACACGCTCAGGTCATGGCTTTCCCATTGCTGTGTTGGTTGAGTTACCTTATGGTTTTTCTCCCCGTGTATATGTCTTGGTCCAGTATCCTATTCACTGTACACGTGCCCCAAACTCTGCTGGAACCTAATTCTCACCATGAGGTATGTCTGTCCCAACCTGGCCACCTTCCTGGAATTGAGCCCTAATCAACACTTTGGGGGACTTCTTGCAGTGTTTCAAAGAATCTTTTCCCACAGCCACCTGTGGAAGACGTTCCAGACCCCTGGACCCTGCTGTGGACACAACAGGCAACTGCACCCCCCGCCCGTCCTCCCACCCGCTGAGCCACCTGCTTACCCTCACCATCCAGACCCCTACCCCGGAAGACAGGTGAGAACGACCCCTGGTCTGAGAGTGGTGAAGTCTTTAAGAAGATGAAGCTGGCTTCCAAATCTAAAACTACTTTATTTGTGGTTGGCTCAACATAAGACGCCATCATCAATCAGCAGAATTATAAAACTGTACAGGAGGTACAAAAATAGGCCGTTTAACTTAATTACCCTTACATCATCAAGCTTTAAAAATACACATAAAAACTGTACAATCTGGCAGTTTATAAAATATAAAGCTAAAAAGAAGATTTTAGGTTCCATAAAGAGGATTGTATCACACAATTAACACGTATCCATTAAACAATTAACCGTCCACAGAGAAGACACAATGGCACAGAATTTTTTATAAGATCACTTAAAAATTAACATTTTTACCCCGACCAAATTAATTACCCTTTAATGACAAAACTACTATAAGGCATCCATCCCGTGGAAGGATACAGTATAACTTTTCCTTTTCCAGTTTTAAAATGGTCAGGGGTGTTGTCCAAAACAAGTCTGATGTGCCTTAAGCAAGTGCGATTGTAACTGGAGACACTTCAGAGTAAAAATTAAATAAATATAAATAGGTTAAATAAATAGGTCATTGCAAAAAGAACACTAGATAAGGTTTGCATCTGAGAATGCCACATAGTTGACCAGTAATGCTTTCTAGGTAAGTGGGGACTCCCCCGTCACAGCTTCTGGGAGACTGCAAAGGAATACTGTACCCGCCAAACACACACAGACACAGGGGAAGGCGATGGGTGGGGACTTTGGCTGGAAGTGTTGCTTAAGGCTGTTCCAGTGGGAGGCTCATTGCAGATTCCTTGTGGTTTTCCAAAGAATACGGAAAGGACTTAAGTGCCAGTATAAAAATTTAGAACCAGAGTTTCTCATGGGAAATCACTGTTTCATAAAGAAAACAAAGTACGGGAAGATTAGACACTTCGGCTTAAAAGATAATGGTCCAACCCTGGAAGGTGGAATTTTTGCTCATCTGTATAGGACACCTGATGACCTTCTTCAGGAAATGCTGATGCCAGGCCACATTCAACTAAAATGACTATTCCAGGATGGGGAAGGAACGGCCAAGGTGAAAAAACTGGGAAATACGAAGAAAAGAGATTTCAGAAACTAAATGGGTAGAGAGGAAGCTAAAAAGAATTGAAAGAGGCTCTTCACAGACGTGCTGTGCTTTCTCTCCCAGCCCCTCCGGCAGAGGAGGCTGCAGGAAGCAGAACCAGCCCACCTCCCGCGAGGACCTCAAGGCTGAGAACCCAATGAACAGAGATGGAGAAGGGGAACTGCGGTGGGAAAGCCACACCCGGCCAGAGCACAGCTTCTGAGAGGGCAGCAGCTGAGAGAAAGCCCTACAACCCAAAGGGCCCCACACCTGCGAGAGAGGCCAGATCAGCAAGTAATTCATCTCTCCTGGCGCAGCGAGAAGGATGCAACGATAAATGAAGCGCATTCACACAAAACCTTACCAAAAGGCCCAGGCTTAACTCTGCTCAGAGCCTTCTTTCTAGAGTCGGTGGGAAGAAAATACTGTGCTGAACCCACCAACCTGCGGGTCCTTCAATATAACGTGTAGGAGGTCAGAGTGATATCTCCCTGGAAAGACCCTACAACGACTACTACACGGGCTGGGGGCGGAGGGTGGGAATCACATCTTTGCACCCAGGATTTTATACGTCAGCCACTAGATGGTTACTGACTTAGCAAGTAACACCAATGGTTCCCCAAGTGCAAATGCTCTGGTGCCCAGTGATGTGCGGAGCTCTTGACAAACTGAAGTTATAAAGACTCAAGAAGCAGCAAGAGAAATTCTGGAAAGGCATGCCAAAGACAGATTCAATACAAGATTTAAATAAATTGTAGCATCCTTGGGAATCCTAATAGATGCGACTAAATTCTGTCTTAAAAACGAAGATAGCGTACGTTTAAAAAGTTAAACAGCCTTCCAGGAATTGTACTAAAAATCAAACTGCTCAGCTGCCAGAGGATGCACAAGACTGCAGAACCCTGTTCTAAAGAAAGACACCTTCCCACGGTGCCGAGCACAACAGGAAACCAGAATTTGAGAGACGAGAACAGGATGGATAAACCAGATGACGCCCAAAGTGTTTTCATGACAAGTGCCCACGTGTGACCTCTTCAAACCAGTGAAGGACGGACTAGTGACTGGGTTCCTAAAGGTGACAGAGGGAAGACGGACAGAAGGCAAGTTGACCAGACCTGAGGGGTGCTGGGACACGGGCAGCTTTAAGACAGAAGAGGCGCAAACCCCAAATGCACACCTTGCCCCATCCCCTGGATTTTCTTTGTGGCACTGACACTTACGTCCTGTTGTCGCTCTCCCCGTAAGCTCTGATGAAAGCAGATGTTTGCTATCTTGTTCACTTCTGTGACCCTGGCACTCGGTATCCTGCCTGGCTCCTATGGTAACTGCTTGGATAAAAATATGTTGAATAGATGAGTTTGAGAAAGTTGGGTAGTTAGAAACAAATACGATAAGCTGAAAGCGTGTTTTTAAAAAGTTGGCCCAGAAGCAAGTTGGGC